ATTTAAGATCAACACCATGACATCACCCTCATTCCAGCTAATGGCTCGAAACCTGGTTATGATACGAAGATGCTGACTTCTATGAGGACGTCTTACACAGTTCCTCGCAGTAGTAAAGGCTCAGGATTGAGTCACCTGTTCCATATCTCAAGAGGGCTGAAAAAGGGAGCAAGTAAAAGAAGGGATGAGAGGCAGAGCAGCCAATGTTCATGAAGGGTTATTTAAGGTATGACTACTCAGTCTAATTTTCTTTTATTAGAGTATTTACTAAGCAAGAGCATTCTATAGGTTAAAGAAAATAATTGTGAAAAATGTGCGAGCGGATAAACAGCTGACAAACGGAGGTGGTTCAGAAAGAAGCTGAGAGTATGGGATTGTGTGTAGTTATAAAATATAGTGCTAAAAACAGTATTACGATCTACAATTGACTATCTCCCTTTTTCTGTCGAAGCTACTAGAGCCTTTTTATCTTTTATCTTATTTTTTCTAGATTTTATAGGGTCTTGAGCAGGCTTCGTATTTTAGTGAATTGTCTAGTTTGCTTGTAATAGGATTACTGAGTAGGAAACGAAACTAATTCAACGTTCTAAACACGATTTAATGAGGTATTTTGTATGAAAAATCAGCGTCGATACCTTAAGTTCGTGACATCCCACGAGACCATAAGGAGCCGTAATTAAACAAAATGTTCTGCCCTACAGACATGGGTGGAATGAACTTATCTCCCCACTATCATGTTTGCTGGTCAGTAACGCCACCCTCCCTCCCTTTGTGATGTTAGGCTCTCTTACGTTTGTGGTAAGCATGAATACTGCTTTAATCAAAGCCCATGGTAGGAATACACTGTCTCTACTAGTTCCATGTCACAAGCAAATCAGATAGTTAAAGAATCTGTATTATGGGTTATATGTCCATTTCTGAGACATCTTGAGTTGCTGGGAGATTGAAAAGACCACAAGTATTTGTATTTTGAAAACACTTTAATCAGCAACGTCTTCTGTAATTGAATCGTTTCCGCCCAATGAAATCAAGAGTCAGGAGGTTTGTAGAATTATGATCTACTATGATATTAGTACTGCTCTAATAATAGACCTAATAATAAATTTTGTAGACTTGTCATGATATAACTGCCTAATCTATAAGATCTTACGTGGAAGTCACACCATGGACTACACCAACTTACTGTATCGTGTCAATTACCAATACATGATGTAGAACAAGGTTAGGCTAGAGAAAGAACAATATATTTAATATGAATAGAAGATATAAGGTAACATTCAGCGGAGACCACGCCTGCATGGCCATGCCACTCGATCAACTCCAGTCCATTCTAATTCATTGTTCGCGCCTTCCCCATTGTTAAGTATTTCTCCGTGTTGAATATTAAATGTCTATTTTCTGAGTAGTTTTGTGTTCAGCTTTGAAGATTGTGTGGTTATGGTCTAATGCTACTACAAGTTCAAAGATATATTTGACATGTTCTCATTTGACATTTCTGAATATTTACAGTAATGCCATGTTTTTGTAGTCGGTTGAAAACAAGATCCAGATGCAGAAGATGAGACTCTCTGTCGGAACTTGCTATTAGGCAGTCATCAACATACGCATGTACGAAGATGTGACCTCGAAAAACGTCATCTGTGAACCTTTGGAAGGTTTATGCAGCGTTCCTTAGACCGAAGGGCATTCGCGAAAATTCGTAGAGTTCGACGGGAGTAATGATAGCGGTTTTTGGAATGTCGTCAGTGGCCATGGGAATTTGGTTATACGCTTTAACCAAGTCGATTTTCGAAAAGACAGTTGTATCTTTCAAGGTAGCTGTCAAATCGTGAATGTGAGGCAACGGGTAACGATCGGAAATGGTTATTGCATTCAATCTCCGATAGTCACCAGTTGGACGCCAATCGTTGCTTTCTTTTTTAGGGACCATGGGCAACGGAGATGCCTACTTGCTTATTGGCGGTCGCATGGTTTCTAAGTTTATCATGTGGTCAAATTTGTTTTTGGCCAACCTTAGCTGTTCAGGAGTTAGTCGGCGTGTTGTGGAGAAAACAGGAGGTCCTGTAGTCGTGATATGATGTGTGACACTGCTGGTTACACACGGCAATTTCGGTTGATATTGGTATATCCCATCATACTTATCGAGTAGTGGTTTTGATAGGATAGGTCTATCGTGTGCTTACTTGTGACTGAAGATAATCTACAACCAGAAAAAGAAGTAACGCAAACAGCTAAATTAGTGTTTCCTTCTACTAACATCTGTTTGCGCGTATCGATGAGTAGATTATGATATTGTATGAGGTCTATACCAATCATTGGCATACAAACATCTGCAACAATGAAGATCCCGTGAATAGTTTGCGTAAACCCACTTTAAGGTGAACGTACCTTTTGCGTAGCGACAGGCTTTCCGTTCGCCGCCTGTAGATTTAAAACCGATTCGTTAAGCCGGTTGTTAGAATTAGCAGGAATAACGCTAAATTATGCCCCAGTATCGACGAGGAAGTGGTCTTTCGTAATCACATCTGTGACGTATAACAAAAGTCTGTATTCGTTGGCTACGGTTGCCGTTAACGCATGCCGGCTGGAAAGTTTCATGAAGCCTTCTTCATATCGGTCGTTTTGGAGTTCGGAAGATTACAAGGCTTTAAACAATATCAATATTATGCGTTCCGATTTTGATACCATCACCATTTGGGACTGTCAGTCTCCTGTGTTCTAGAGACAAATCGTTTTCGTGAAGAACTCTTTCGAGGGATTTTTGATCTTTCACGGTGATGACGAATACGAAGGTAACGTATCAGCATAAGACAGATTTACGTAACGTCGTCGTTCCGCGTCGTTTGTAGTTTTTCGTTAACTGAAATCCTCAGCGTCAGACGTTTTGGTAATATCCAGAATGCGGTTGACAGATGCCGCCGGCTGGTCTACAGCTTTGTTTTGAGATGAGACAAGCACTGCCTGCACCTGTTGAGGAAGTTTACACAAGAAAATTTGCCTAAACAGGCTGTCACCAAAATTCCTCTCATTCGTAACAACATGTCGATTGCTGAGCCATGTTTCAAATAGATGTTACTGAGGAGTTGATCTTCGTATCATAACCAGGTTTCGAGCCATTAGCTGGAATGAGGGTGATGTCATGGTGTTGATCTTAAATACCTAATGTAACGAAGAAGAAACGATGAAAACCCCTCCGCAGCTTCTTTGTTGGACAGTATTGTCAATCATTTGTCCCTTCTCCCTGTCATATATTTTAACCTTTGTTCAGATCTCGTTTAACCACACCTTTTGTTCTTCAGTCTTCTTCGTTTGGGCCTTTATTATGTGATTATGAATAGAGACTTGTCTTTTGTTTGTGTAGAACGGGATGGAAAATGATATTAAGTAATATTTGGTATGATACTGCATCAGTTTATGGAGTACTTAACTGCTAATAAAATTACTATGGAAATAGTAAAGTTTATTTAATTTGAACTTGCGTTAAAGTAGGAACTTACGATTGAAGATTGTGACTGAAATTAGTTAAAACCGATCTGGATAACAAAGAGAATCATCTTTTATTCTCTTCTAAATTATACACATTATTATATTGAGTTTATTTATATAACTAAGGCCATCGGTTTTAGTTCTGGTATGTTGTTAAATATTTATTTGTTATTGAGATGTGTAAGAACTTGAAGTTATTCATCACTATATGTTACTTTCTTTCCAACAGTTCTTGACTATAGTAAGTACACTGGTCTATTTCCTTCGAACAAACGTTGTTTTGTCGAAATTTGTCTTTGACAGTAACTCCTCTGGTGTAAGCGCTATTAAAACATAACATCCATTTAGGAAGCATTTTATACATGAACTAATATTTATTTCAGTTCTATTTCAGAGCCGCATATTTTCAGGATGTGGTCATCATTCTCATAATCAGAACATGTAATGAAACGTGTGATTGACGTTGGTTACTATTCAAACAATGCTAGAAAAATCATATTACTGAACCAACTTGAAAATATTTGGATTATCACATCGTTGATATTTTTTGAATGAAATTTGATCAGTCTAGGTTGGCCTACAGGCATTTTGCACGGACTGTCTCGATATAGCCATATGGTACAAGTTGACTAAACCAGATGGAATGTGGCTAGCAGTGGGACATAGGACATACGTTTTGCCCAACTGACCAAGTTTCATCAAAACTATCAACAACGGGATAATCCAAATTATTTCAAATTAAATTAAATCTCATACCCGTTGTAAAAGTGAGTGGCCATCTGAACTCAGTAGCCAAATAGACAATATGATGGCATTTGAAGCGAATGGTACTGGCTTGTGTCCCAGAGTGAATAACTCTGGTATGCAAGTACATTCAGCTAACTAATCTCAAATAGGACTCAAAGAATATCCTAGATTCCACTGCTAGCCACATTCTATCTAGTCTATATCAATTACAATGTTGATTCTGAATTTTAGTGATTATTTGAAATGTACTATTTAACAGTAAAAAAATTAGAGATGCTGGAAAAGATTCGTAGTTCAGGTGAATGATTTTAATGGAGTTTTTTTCTCTGAGCTGGATAATTTGGTCGTGGAGCTTTCATTGTTCTTTCGAATGATAGCATCAGCACAAACTTCAGGTAGAAGTGAAGTGTTCGTATATGACCAAACCATCCAACTCAGAGAACAAAACTCTATCAAAGTAAAAATTTAGGTTTACATAAAATTTGAACTAACAACTCATTACATGACTGTTATAAATAAGCTTGCTGTTGCACTGGAATTACGTAGGAGCAAACAAAGTCTGAGTATATACTCGTCCACAGAAAGCATGTAATTTATTTTGTTAAACCTAAACTATTCAGCCGAACTCTAACCGTGACCGCTATCTCTAACTCTTAACGTTGATCTCACTCTATAATCACAATGCAATTGCTTGATTGAATATTTAAATGTCTTCTATGTTCACCTGGCGAGACTATTCTACGGACGAACCAATCAGAAGCGTCTTAGAGATATCAAGGCTACAGCGCCAACTTCAGTGCCTAATGCTGACGTATGATCGGCTCACACGGAATTTTGTAAAAAACGTGGTAATTGAGCAGCTATAACAAATAAAACTGCAAGACTATCATTTGCGGACAAATCAGTCAGGTATAAGATCATACATCTCGGGGTTTAACGCGATAGCCTTTCATGCACTTAGTTAAATAAATTTCTGGCCTTATAGCTCGGGCTCCCAACTTTGGGCAAACTCTCGAAGTCAAATGACCTTGACCAAGGTTAAAGAGGAATTTCCCCAAAATGTGCCAAGTTTTCCCCGAAATTGTGAGCTCGGGATCTGATGTCAGTTTGTGATGAAAACCCCATATATAGATTAGGGTCTCGCCGTAATCACGAAAATTCTAGCCTGAAACATACCACGGAGGGAGAGATTTTCTACATAGTCGTAAGATGGTTGCTTAGTTGTAACAGCCTCTGTGCACTGATTCCCTAATCTGCCTATTTAGATTCGATTGGAAAGGCGAATTGCGAATCGGTAGCTCCATACAAACGTACGATTTTTTCATCCTGTCCTCAGTGAAAAGAGTTAGTATTCCAGTTGATATGTCAACCCGTGGCGTGTCTTCTAGTGGCGATCCAATATCCCTTGTATGTGTGTTTCCCCTCACTAATTCGCTAGCTGGATTTCATTTACATATTCGGACACAAAAATGAATTTTTGTACAAAATTATCTGTTTACAACTAGTAGGTATCCTAAAATTGTTGATTGGTCGTGTGAGCTGTTGGTGTGCTCACTATTGCGATCATTTTCAACAACAATGAAGTAATGAATGTGTGTTTAATTACTCCTAACCCACCTAATGTTATCAGTCAGTTTGTTTTAACTACCAAGAAACTGGAAGATAAACCTCGGACTTCAGTTTACTCACAAATTATCTGGCATCACAAGTCATATAACTTGTGTGTTAGATTTTGCTAGTAATACGTTCATCATTTCATGTTTCCACACTCTGCTACTACTTTCAATGGGATAGCATTCTTCAACTTCACGAAGCACGTTTTCCCTACGAATATTAAGGTAGTAACAACTATTTGAATATTAAAATTTACTCATTCTGTGCAAGGGTAAATAAACTGTTCCTGACTCGTCACATTTTCCTATCTTATTATGCGGTGTGTAACAACTAGTTCCCGTAAGCTGAAAAGCCATCATGTAAAGCGAACAAGGAATTATAAACTTAGAAAATGTAACTTATACTATTAGAACTAAGTCCTATGCTCTTGTGAGATAGTATTTCAAATTTACTCATCTATTATTCTGTTATCAAATTTACGTTTTTAATGTACCTAGAAGAAATTGCTTTTGAAGGACAGCAATTACGTACACGTGCTTAAGTAGGTTTTTAGTGGTTGGTCGTTGAAAATTAATATTTCGAATAAGATACTGAAATGTTCGAAGACTTGGGATTGTTGTGGTTTTATAATATACAACGAACTAAGGTATATGGTCTACAAACAACTAAAATTGACTTTTATGCCTAATGTGATCATTTATGCTACGCAAAACTTGTTTTATTGTTGGTAAGTTAACGTTTACTGGTGACTCTGATCCAAAATATCTTCCAAAAAGTTCCCAGTATTTATTGTAGTATTTCATTTATCTTGAGATATCTGTAATTAAGTAACGGCGTTTTACTGCTCATTAGATATTAACCGATCGACTTGGTTTTCTCTATCCAATTTTATAGTACAACGGATCGTAACAGTCATGGTAAATGCGAATGTCGATAACTTGGTTAAAACTTGTCTACCTATGTTCATTGGAATAGCCTTACGCTCGTCTACCAGTTTACACTCATATTCCGGCGAAAATAAACCACCCATGTATGGTGACTATGAAGCTCAACGTCATTGGATGGAAATCACCGTTAATTTACCATTCGCAGAATGGTATATCAACTCAACACATAATGATTTGAATTATTGGGGGTTAGATTATCCACCTGTTACGGCATATCATAGTTGGCTGATGGGTAAACTAGCTAATAAAATTGACCGTGATTGGGTTCAGTTGTACACATCGAGGGGTTTCGAATCTAAAGAGCACAAATTGTTTATGCGCTATACTGTACTGGTAGCTGACTTATTGTTTTTTATACCTTCTGTATTACTGTATTTTTATTATGTTCTACCTAGCATTATGAATAATAGGTCACAAATTAGTGGATTTTATTCAGCATGCCTAACATTAACTTATCCTGGTCTTATATTGATTGACCATGGACACTTCCAATATAATTGTATCAGTCTTGGTTTGTATTTGAGCGGAATTAATTTCCTCCTCCTAGAGTGGGATATGCTCGGTTCTATATTATTTTGTTTAGCCATAGGTTATAAACAAATGGAACTATATCATGCGTTGCCAATTTTTTTCTTTTTATTAAGCAACTGTATTTACAAAAAATCAGTGCGCAGTGGAATAACACATCTAGCTAGACTGAGCTGTGTCGTTTTCTTGACAGTATTTTTGATATTTGCACCGTTTTTACTAACAACCGATTTGAATCTTTCATTGCAAGTCGTCCGACGTTTATTTCCGTTTGATCGCGGTATTTACGAAGATAAAGTATCTAATTTTTGGTGTGCTACATCACCGCTAGTAAAGTGGCGTTCACCACTTTCTACGTCATCCTTAACATTATCGTCTACTAAACTGGTGTGGGTTAGTGTCCTGCTCGTACTGACTACATGCGTTCCATCTTGTATAGTTTTATTAAAGAAGTCTAAAAACCAAAAATTCCTGATTTCTCTCGCACTATGTGCGTTAAATTTCTACCTATTTTCCTTCCAAGTTCATGAAAAATCAATTTTGTTAGTATCTATCCCTGCTTTGTGTTTGCTACCTTTTTATCCCATATCGTCATTTTTGTTCTCTTTATGCTCTACTCTTAGTATGTGGCCATTATTTAAAAAGGACGGTTTACAATTGGCCAGTTTATGTTTAACATGTATACATACCATTCTAGGCTGTTTCATAATACTAAAAAGTAACAATAGTGATAAACATGTTGCTGAGAAAAAGAAATTACAAAATAGTGCTACGCGTAATAATATCATCTCTATATTTATCATTCTTTTTATTCTTATTGGCTATAGTATCTTGATTATCGGTGACTTACTGATTACACCTCCTGTAGCATATCCCGATTTATTTCCTTTGTTACTTTCTATGTACTCCTTCACTCTGTTTTTCTTATTTATGCTCTATTGGCAGTTAGAAGTTATTTTTATGTAAAACTTTGTGTTTAGTTATGTTTCTAAGAAGAATATATGTTCATGAGGTTCGCGTTCTATACTTCAAAAGTTTAGTTTACTGGCTAATTTATTCTATTCGGTATACACTAACATGCTCGTAATAGGAATAGATATATCTTTATAATAAGCTTTGTGACACAATGGGAGAGCATTACGATTTTTTACTGCAGGCAAATAGATTAACTACTATATTCATGATGCAACATAGCTTTAAACATCCAAGGACAGGGTAGGAGTAGGGTGTAGCTGGGCCTGTCTCAGTCACGCATCAGTTTAACGTCTTTATCAAGTTCATCAGACTTTGCCTCAACACCGATCATACGGTGATCCGAACACATGCAAGCAGTGCTTCGAGGAATATGTAATAACAGCAATTTCATGTATCCACTTTTAAAGATCATATCTCAAACAAACTGCTGGTTGACAGATAACTTGTATAGTCAAGGAAACAAATTTTACGAGTGCTTGGGTTTCATCACTGTTCGAAACAATACTACTGGTGGAAATTCTGGAACAAGTGAAACAGGCAATACACTGTAACACTAGACTAGCCACTGATTCAAATCAGCCCAGAAGCAAGCATCTAGAACAGGATTTTGTATCTATGACAATTTAAAGGTTGAAGGTAGATACATAACATAGTAAATGCATGTGCCGATTCGTCACATCCTGTAACTTCCTAAATTTTTGGGTAAATAAACTTAAGTTGGTAGATGTAATCCCTTGGCCTGCGTTCCAGTGACAAACACAGCTACTAGACCTCAGTTGCCGACGAATTGAGCCGAAAATTGCGACAGTATTAACCAAATTTGTAGTCAGTAAAACTTGATACTTGTGTACATCGGTTTAATAAGCCATACTCCATTTGCACAAGATCAGACTGTCAGGGCAAATCCCAAAGCAGCAAAGGTAGTAACATTATTAGTGGTAATATAAGCTATTAGCAAAACATAACTCACATGTCTTACAAAATAGGAATTAAGCGGGATATCTAGAGCAGTATTACTGACTAAAATCTAGCAACATGTAGTTGCCTGCAAAATATCGTTTAAACACGTTAATTTACCGCAGTTCATTTTGTAAAGATATCGAATGATACATTAGCCATTTTGTCCCGTAATAGTTATGCAGCAAGGATGATCATACACCAACTACGCATAGTCGACATACCATCACCACTACTACAACATTCAATCACACATCTAGTATTTATTTGTCCAAGCTTCGTTATGTGATACCAGGACAAGCCATTACTTAAAAAATAGCAGGTGTATTCTGGGAAGTACCGTACTGGACCAACTACTAAAAGGAAAATTATGATGTAAACTTGAGACTTGACAACGAACTCAAAATATTCTTTGTTATGTATTTACACTTGAAAATTGTTTAAGGGTATGAACTATGAAAACGAATGTCTTGCTGCAAAAATTTATTTCAAACGATGTAAACAAAGCCACGAATCGACTGCAGTGTGGAATTTCTGGTGGTGCCCTTTATAATAAGGGATGTGCCAACCGGTTTCTAGGTTACCATGTACACACAAGTCACACTTTGAGGGTTTCTGAAAGATAACATGTAAATTCATGTAAACAAAATGAAGAATAAATATATTTAAAAATTTTATCCAGGTAATGATGAAAACGAACTGGAATTTATGGTGTCAACTAAAACTGCAAGACCAGCGGTTGTCCATTTATTTATTTAAACAACTGGTACAAAGAGGCACTAAATATGTAAATTCCACACTCCGTCATTCGATTTTTGTGAAGGTTGGAATAGCGCCCATAAGCTAAAACCGTCATGTTATTTTAGGGTGTTGCAGCCTGACCCCATGACCCAGATGTCTAATCCACTAGGCAGTGAAGCAACGTAAGGAGACGCAGTCCCATGGTAGTTAGTGACTAATATTAGGTTCGCAAGCCATTTCTCCCTTCAAGATCCTGGAGGTCATGTGCACCACTGTTTTGGAAGCACGTTTTCTCCCACAGATGGATTTTCCATATCGATCAGCCAGGTCAAAACGCCGGACGTTTGGTTTCTGTTTTCTCAATTTTGTAAACGCCCCTCCTCGTGATAAGACAGTGAGCAAGATTTCCCTAGCAGTGGCTGTGTATGCACTGCCATGTGAGAGCACCTGGACAGGGAGAGCGGACTCCCCAATATTGGCCGTACCAGGGCATTTGGGGTGAGACTGTCCATATCCGCTCGTAGACCTTCAGCTTACATTTTATGCTTTACGGTTTCGTCTGCTTGTATATAAACTGCACGTGTCTGAGATATGCTTGATATATTAGAGGCTGGATTTTACATTTTGGTCTAGGCAAGTAGATACTATACAGAGTTGGTTAACATATCATTGGTTTAATATAGAAACAGAGTCATATAGTCGGTATTCTGACTAGTGATTTTGTCACGTGATATTTGACAGGCTATGGGACATAACACTAATTACTACCCTCTCGCAGCGGTTATTGCATATGAAGCATCCGTTTTAGTAGACTAAAAGGGAATGTCTGTAGTCTTCGCCGGGTTGGTGGTACGGGGAAATCACCTAGGGGAATTGGAAAACTCTGATTTCAAAACAGTGGCCATATGGGCTAGGGATACTAAAGAAACAAATGGCGTATGAACCTAACCTTGGTCACTGGTTACCATGAGGCTGTATCTCCTTGTGTATCGAACCTCCAAGTCAAAGGGTCGGACAGCGACCCCCTAAGAAAACCACCTACTACCGTTTGGGCACCTGGGCAGAATTCTAGTTCACACAACTCAAATGGTGCCCACAACTGGGGAAAATTATGCTCACTCCAACCATCATCATGAGGACTATTCGGTACCATTCGTCCTTTTTTAGATCACGTTATTTGATTATTTTATTTTGTTCACATTCATTAGGTAGCACACCTATGGTAGAAAGTCTTTCTTCTTAAACGGTCTCACACGAATACTGCACTAACCAGTCGTTTTTGTGACCTACAGGAATTTTCTGGTGGCACGACAGTCATTTCCAATGTAGTACATGGCATTCTTTCACTAAATCTCAAGCCCGGACTCAGATTGGTCCCATCGGTGTCAGCTAATGCTGTCGTGGCTGTGTAGGAGACCGCCGCTTCTTTTAGAGCACTTATCTGGGATCTGATCATGTCTTCGTCTGCGCCAATCTTATATTAATTTTTAATGGCTAACAATTTATTTTCCTAAACGGATCGATGTAACCAAGTTAAATGCAGCCTTTATTGCAATTATGTATGAAACCGGGGTAGGTCCAAGGATGGCTGTCACCTCACAGAGAAGTATAGACCAGCACCGGCTGGATTTACATGATGCCATAGGAACGGCAAATAAAGTGGCTTGCGCGTTCACTAGATGTTCCGCTTATAGGCACTGCGTTTTCTACAAGCTACTTACAACTCCTTGAGGTATATCATTCTACACGATTTCCGTCAACTTCGTGGATTCTATTCGAGGAAATACGGTCCATATATTCATCCTCCGTCAAATGTCACAACATCGTCATACTTATCACAGGCCAACAATCGTTGTGTTTCTTTGCATAAGATCGTCTTCGATTGGTTGGACAGGGCTGTACTCTGGGAGTATCCATTGAAGAAGGGTGTACCTGGGAAGTCCATTACCATCTTGAAAGCCCTATATACAAACAACTCAGACAGTGAGAACATACAAACACCTCTTTCCATTGTTTCATTCAAGCAGTGGGGTTAGGTTGGATTGCCTAAGTTCACCATTCCTCTTCAAGTTTGTCATCGATGACGTTCTGGAAACACCTCACATTAACGTAAGTAATGACGAAGTAGATCTCTTGCCTGAAGGAACTTTTCCACCTTGAGTATGCGGATGATATTGTCTTACTGTGTGGTAACAGCGAAGCCATGCAATACGCACTTATTCAGCTGGAAACCAGCGTCCGTAGGTATGGCATGTGCTTGTCACCTTCTAAGTGCATGGCTGACAGGACTCTGAACCTCCACTTATTCTGGGTAGTGAGCAGAGAGAAGTTATCGAGAAGTCCGTATATCTGGTTAGCTATATAAGAGCTGATGGTGGAGTGAATGATGAGATCAATTCATTTGTCGTGAAAGCCAGAGTGACTTGTGCTAATCTGAGCGATTTCTGGCGCCTTCGTGATGTTAGTCTGGCTGTAAAATCTCGGATATGGGATGCGCCGGTGAGAGTAGTTTTGCTGTGCTCGTGAGACCTTGCCTCTCCGAGTTGAGCATGTTAGGTGACTCTGTCTGTTAATTATTGTTTCAAAAATAAAATTGCTGACACCCAGTGGCAACCTCATGTTAGTGGTGCCGAAGTTCAGCAACGTGTGTTCAGCCGTATTGGTTATAATCCAATTGTCCTTATACAGTCATATCTTTCCTAACCGAACTGCTTGTTTCATCACTATTTTTTTCTTACACTCATATACTAATTTCGAATCACTTTTATTCCTTTTTAATAAAATCCTCGTTTCTTCATTTTTTCACACTCCCATTTTTCTGTGGAGCATACAAATTTTGGTAAGCATTTGTACTAATATTTACGTGTTTAAATAATAAGTAGAGATCCATTCTATAGTAGAGTTAATGTGTTTAACTGTACCACTCCTTTTGGGCGAGAAATTAAAGGACGAAGCCTTTTATAATTGAAACATGGGAAACGTATGCACAGCAACCAAAAATTGTGATAGATGTACATAAACAAAATTGAGCCTGCCATAGGAATGCGTTGGCATAAGCTACCATGCCACATTAACACGAGGTAAGAAAACATTCAATTAATGTGGCAGTAATGAGAAAAAAAGGTTGGATTTTAGGTATATGGTTTGAAAAGACTGGGAGACTATGTATGATGGTATCCTGGGATTTAATATAGGAGGGAAAATAAAGTGAGTGCACCTGCGTCACTAAGATCCATGTCACTCAGTCTCCAGACAGGTAGTCTACACTTGTTAACATGACTCAGGTCATTCGTCGATACATTCAGTAATGCCACTCACAACATCTACGTGACACAGGACATGAAGTCGATACACTGAAGTCTTCTAAAGTGATTAACAAACAAACACCAATCTTTTCAAATTTGCCGAAGCAATAGCGATCAAACGTCCGAATCCAGATCTATTTATCTAAAATAGGCAGTAATAAATCTCTCTTTGCCCTGGTAACATTACATCCTTTCTATTACATCATTCATCATTTCGCCTTTTTCTGAAGTTTGATTGGATCATTGTAATTTTTCTTTAAGTCTTAAATGATCGCCTTCAATTCATATCTTTCTTTATTACCATTAATCTGTTTTCCGTTGCTCCATCACATCTAGTCTTTGTTAACTCCAAGAGTTCTAATCATTATTTTAATGATCAGGAAGTTTCCCTCCCAAACTGTATTTATCCGAAACAAGATTTTTACGACCTTATTAACTCTAAATCATGATACACATATTTATTTCTAATCACCTCCGTATTTATGAGTATATCAATTAACGTTGATTTTAAAATATTATAGGTTGTAAGCACCTAATAAGAACCTAATGAAATAAAATGAATTCATATTATTCTGCATAAATCTTCGTTCTTGCTCTCTTCAAGATAACAAAAAGAACTATGTGTATGAAAATGGGGATAGTTGGTAGTTTTTACGAATGGCACCGAAGTCCACTAGTCTTTCGTAACCATTTGATTCAAGCTGTTGATAGATGTCACATATCTCTCCAAGGCTTGGTAATGATAATTTGTTGCTGCAAGATCCTTTAGGTACTCAGCTAATTCTTCCTTAAATGCATCTTTAACATTTTAGGTCTTCGAACTTATATCTAGGTCTTTCTGTAACATCTTTATGTCCACTAAAGCTATCGCTAAGGCATGATCGAGATACAGGCATGCAAGGAGCGACAGTCTTCTGTTGATGTTCTCTAACAATAGTTGTTGGGGATTTCACTTATTTGTCCTCACTGTTGTGTTGATTTTGGGGATCCTCAGATTACACAGTATCTTTCTTTATGCGTAAAATTTGTGCTTACTAGGGACCACCGGTTTTCTGAGCATCCATAGTGGTTTGGTGAGGTCAAGTGAATGACCATGAGTGTTTAGAGTCACAGCACACATCAATAGCACGAGGCTCTCATCTTAGTGACGAGTGATGTTCGGTTTTACAGAGTCCAAGCACTAAAGAACGGTTTCGGACGACCTAGTACAGCATTTTGTTGAATCGAATTTTTAGAGTTGATGTAACACTTTGAAAAAGTAGAAGATGGAGCAGGATTAATAGAGGAAGAATGGTTTTTGATAGTGAAATTAAATTTGATTAGTCACTGAGTGTGGGACAAAGCGGCACGCAACTTACTGGCTATCAAATATGTAATTATCAGGAGGGGTTTGTGGAGATTTTGAAAATTTCACAGATTGAAATCATGAGTCAATTGAAGCTAGACCACCATGGAAAACCTGGAAGCACTGGACGGTCGTTTCGTTCTAGTACGAGACTCCTCAGCAGTGCGCATCCACGATCCCGCACCCCGTAAAATTCGAACCCAGGACCCATCAGTCTCGCGCCAGGCGCTTAATCAACTAGGCCACTGAGCCGGCATCCAATGGTGTTAATGTCTAACTTCAACCAATTCACGAAGTTGCGCCACCGTAAACCATTGTCTTGAGTGAGCTGATATCTCACAACAGACCTGGTTGAACACCACCGGGGTGCGGGATCGTGGATGAGCACTGCTGAGGAGTCCCACACTACGACGAAACGGCCGTCTAGTGCTTCCAGGTTTTCCATGGTGGTTTAGCTTCAATTGACTCATGATTTTAATCTGTGAAATGTGTAATTGTTGATTTCTACTCCGGACTCACTAAAAGTGAATGCTTGTAATTGTGTGAAATAAAGTATTATTTAGTGTTACTTTGATTCTCTATCCTTGGTCGTCAATCGTGCATCTGATATCATGTGATCTAGCCTGTGCATAGTGGATCGCTCAAGTATTCAATCTGGCGGTATTATAATCTCGGTCATCCAGACCAGTTTTAACATATTATTGTACTACCATATAATACTGTGGTGCGTGCTACTTATATTGATGTAAGTAGTATTCGGCGCGAGTTAAAAACGTAACGTCTGGCAGCAGAAGATGGGGGAAGATCAAGAAACGAAGAGCGGGGACACAATGCAATTTGTAAGAAAACGCATGAACTATGAAATGTGAGACAATGGATTGATGATTACAACAGGAACAGTCCGGTTTGATATGATGGATTGATATTTTGCAAATTAACGATTTACTATATGGTTTTTCTATCTTACCGAGTAACTGTAATTTTGTGCTTAATACAATCCGATTGTCCCCACCCCTGTTCTGTTCACAACAATACTGCAGAGAGAGAGGAATATTTTAAACCATCCAATATATCAGACTAGAAGTAATATTTGGTGATGAAGATGCGGTTTGTCCAGTCATGTTATTAGAAGTATGAGAAGAGTGATCATATATCTGATGCCCACACTGAGGAAGCATATAACTTATTAGGAGGTCCGATTCTATGGGGAAAAGGCAAGGTTGGACATATTTAGGGTCGATCTTTTCTAAACCCTCCCTTCATTTTGAGAAGGTAGAATCAGGGAAAATGCTTGTTGCCGGAGGGAGATACCTTACAGCCGTCACACCTCAGTGCAGCTAGCAGTACGGGTTCGCTTTTGGAAAATGAATTTGTTGATTTAATCATCACCGTCCCAGCCCCCCAAAAGATCCGCTTAGCATGACAGGACCTTAAAGAACAAATTTTCAAAACAACATAGCTCCTCAGACTATTACAGTTTGATTAAGTCAGTAAAATTAATGTTACACGTTGGCACCAAGAAATTAGCTCCTGAAAGTAAAGTACATAAATCAGCAACCGAAATAGTGAGTTGGTAAAAATATCCTTGAGAAAACGACTCCATATTATACAAATCAACTTCAATATGATCAAGCTACAATGAAATACTAATTCAGTTGATATACATGTATTATTATTGTAGTTTCCTAATAAAAGAATTCCTAGGAACACGAAGTAATTAGATTGGTATGCAGTTGCCGTAATAATGGTTTTGAAATTATTAGTTAGCAATAGTAAAAGCTGTGCAGAATCTTAAGACGAAATTGCATTCAAAACTAGTCTTACTTGGTATATCCGACCACGAGGTTGTAGTACAAGTTGTCTGAGAGACTGCCACCGAGAAATTTGTTCTCCAAGTTCTGGACCTGATGAAAAACGATATTGTTTGAATTCATCATTAGATACTATATAACACTGTGGCCCAGACTTCATCGCCATATAGAGGAGGAATACATCGTCTTCTGATCTAAATAAGGAGAAAACTTAGTCTAGACAAGATAAAACAAATACAAAGACGTGTAGAGATATCCGATTGTAAATGTACAACGGTCAAACTTATTTCTTCAGCCTTAGTCTTACAGTTGTTTTTTTGATGAATAGTATATATTCAAATAGTTTCAATGAGTTGGCATTCAGAAGTACTGTTTATTTTAAATACAAGTGCCGTCGTGTACAGATTAACCATAAAGGATAGGTAATAAGCAGTTTCGGGATCTGAACCACACTACAGAGAACAAGATAGATCATACTTGCTGTTAGGATAGTCGGAAAAATATACCAACAATTATCGTGTTAAGTCTATGGTGGCCTTGGACCTTAAATGTACATTTCTTATTGGTCGGTGTTTATTTCACTTGTTAAATATTTTGTAAATGTTGTTTCCTATTTTATGGTACGATGTGGTTTGTTTGTTTGGTATATAAATAGAGTATTTCTGAAATACAACGATTCATAACTCAGGGGCTGTGACTTGTGTTCTTGACTCAACTGGCTAGGACAGACAGGGAAGTGGGACCAATCAGGGCACTAGCTCGTCTCTACGTGTTCTCCGTGTCACTAATCGATCGATAAATAAAACGCTGCGTTATCAAAAACCTGCAGTCTCACACCCGTTACAACACTTGCATTACTAAAAATTTCTGAAGGTCAATGGAATACGTGAGAAACAAAATAGGAGTTGACATAGCTTCAGATCATCAATTGGTAGTTGCCAAGATGTAACTGAAGCTAAATAACAGTGGACAACTGAGTAAATAGCATTACAAAGGTTTAATATAGTCTACCTTTGAGACAACAACAAACTCAACGAATTCGAAATAATTCTCAACAACGGGTTGCAAGATTTACAAGATCTAAACAGAAAAGAGGAAACTACTATGGAGGACAACTGAAAAGGGATCAAAGAATAACTAACTTCAATATGTCTGGAAGTACTGGGTCGCAAGAAGCACCATCATAGGGAATGGATCACTATCGAAACCCTGGACAAGATTTAAGAAAGGAAGAATAAAAAGAGAGCGATTAACGACAGCCGGACAAGAGCAGAGAAAGCAAAGGCATACACTGAATAGACATAAGCCAATTAGTGAAGACGAGCTGACAAGCAGTAATATGTGGAAGACCATGCTACGACAGCGGAAACAGCTGCAAAAGAAGGAAATATGAGACAACTGCATGGTACCAAGAAGAAACTAGCAGGGAAATATTGTAAACCACAGCAACCAGTCAACAACAAAGAAGGTAAGCTAATCACTTAGATTCAAAAACAGGGGAACATGTGGGTAGAACACTTTGAAGAAATCTTGAATACGCCAGGCCACTGTACCCACCAGACATCGAAGTAACCCACACTGGCTTTCCTATAGATATCACTACACTAACCATCGAGGAATTCAGCATGGTTACCAGACAAACCAAGAGTGGGAAAGCTGCAGGACCAGACAGCATACCAGCTGAAGCACTGAAGTCAAACACAGAAATCACTGAAAAGACACTCCATGTTCTATTCAGGGAAATTTGAGAGGGAAAGCAAGTACCGAAAGACTGGGAAGAAGAATACCTCATCAAGATACCAAACAAACGAGATCTGAGAAAATGTCAAAACTACAGAGAAATCACACTACTATCGGTACCAGGAAAGGTTTTCAACAGAATGTTGACGAACTGGATGAAATACTCAGTAGACGCCCAACTTTGAGATCAGAACATCGAATTCCGCAAAAATCAGTCGTGCACAGACTAAATCGCAATACTACGGACCATCGTTGAACAATCAAATGAATGGAACTCGTCACTTTACATCAACTTCCTTGACGATGAGAAGGCGTTCGACAGTGTGGATAAGAGGACTTTATACTATCTTCTTCGATACCACGGTGGACATGAGGACATAGGTGCCTTCAAAATATTGCTCGTATATCCTGGAACCATCGAAAAAGTAATGCAGTTGTTAGGGATCGGGTACTAGGTAAGGATGGCAAATCAATTGATGAAGTAGTGAAACTTCATCAGTTGAGATGGCTGGGACACGTGTTACGTATGCGCAACGACCGACTTCCTCGACGTGCTATGTTCAGTGGTATAGGAGTAGGTTGGAAGAAAGCTAGGGGCGGCCAGACCAAAACATGGCACAAGCCCATGAAGTCACTGACAAGTGGTCTGAGTCATGTCGGTAGGTGTTGACTACCTGGTTGGGGACCGCGAGATGATAGCAACCGATGGTTAGAGACCCTGAATGACATGGCTCAAAATCGTTTGCAATGGCGCAGGTGCATAGACTCTTTGTGTTCTCTCAAACTTTGATCTCTTTATTCCTCTTTGTCTCATTTTTTTCTCTCCTCTCAAATTTATTTCACTGTATTATACTCTTTATGTAACATCTCCAAACACTAATCTTCCCGATTACTGCTTATACTCTTATTACCTCTACCACTACGGGATTTAAATCGACCACTGCATCTCTGTGCTAATGTGGTGTGGCAACTCGAACTGATGTACATACGTACGAAGTTCTCCGTTGTTACTGACTGACGTTATAGGTATGTGTGAACATTTCAGAATATTACACTACAACATAAGTGTAAAGATTGCTGGGGATAAACTGCTTACTGAGTATAAGTAAGTAGTACAAAACAATATACAAAAGTGGAAAGGAAGCGAGTAAAAACAATGTAAGACAAACTTATCAAATATATATATATATATATATATATATATATATATATACTTACGAAGAATTTGTACAGAATTTTTGAACAGAGATACCCAACTGATTTCCTAACATTTTAATTGGATTCCAAAACTCTGATTTACGTATGATTGTATTCCCTTTACTGACAAAACAAAAACGCCGAAGATTGAAATCTTTGTTGATCTGTCTCAAAACCTAAACAAAAACGGTTTAGATAAAAAAAGTCACTGATCATAAGTGTATAGATCTTCGAATAAAATGCAGAACTTAAGCTTTCTTGTGTTTTAAGCTGTAATTTATAAACTGAGAAAGAAGATTTGTAAGATATCTATTACTTGTTAAACGACTGGAGGCAGGCAGATTACTTATCTCCACCTGTAGACCTCCTAGGGCTACTGCTGGTCCCAGGCTTGGATAAACGGAATGGGTTGAGCAATGGGGTCAGAAACTCTATCCCTTAGAAAACAACATTGCTATTTTAAAAAATGCTAACCATAGAAAAGAATTTAAACCCTTTAAACTCTTCAATGTGTGTTGAAGGATCTTGGTTTAGAAGTATGACGCTTCATAGTGAAAGCCGAGATTCTTCGGAAATCATGAGCATGATGCCTCTTCTGACAACCAGAGCAACAATTAATATAGATACACAGAATGCCCGCATAATGTGGTAGGTCCAGTCAAATAGCTGTAGAAATGAAGAGATACAACGTGGTGGTCAGAAGAAGTGAAACTTATTGTACCTAATCTAGACAGACACAGTTATATTCGGGAGAGAAAAAGTCGTGCTTCAGTCATCAAGAAGAAAATGCTTCGCGCATACAAGAAGCTGCACTGACGCTATCAAAAGAAGCAAGAAGAATACATAAGTTGGGAATTCCGTGGATCCAAAATAATTAGAGCATTCCTCAAAACAAAGGAGAGAATCACAATGAATGTCATTCAGTCCTATGCGCCCAGCAAAGAAAGTGAAGGCAATGAAGATCAGTTTAATGAAAGGTTGTAGTCAGTCGTAGAGAAGTGACCGGGAAAGTACATGACTATTTCGATGGGAGAACTGAACGTCAAAGTCGGAATGGATAACACTGGGTAAGAAGACATCATTATTTATTTGTTTATTTTGACACATAGATATTGGTACAAGGATGCATTGAATACATATGCGCCACACAAGTCTTATTTGATATGTGTGAGGGCTGTGATACTGCCCGGGTGCCCAAACCGAAGCAGGTGGTTTTCTTAGTGGGCCATACCCCGAGCCTTTGATCTGAAGGTCCGATCAACAAGGCAGTGGAGCATTGTAAGGAGATGCAGTCCCATGGTAGCCGGTGACCAATAATTGGTTCATACGCCATTTGTTACCTCAAGATATTGGAGCCCATGTGCACCATTGGTTTGGGATCCGGTTAAAGCGCCGGACATCATGAAATCATGTGGACTAGGAGCAAGGGCCGAGATTGACGAGAGGTGTGCAAATTTATGTATCTTCAACAGAATGATTATCAGGAGCAGTTTGGTGAGCGGCCTATGCTCCTCCACGAGGGGTATCAGTTTTGCGTTATATATATATATATATATATTGGATGTAAACATTTACATAATACATCTACTCAATTATTTCCCGTACATTTTTGTGTTGAGATGTGCAGCCGCTTGGAAGAGCATAACTTTTTCCAAGTGCTAATTTGTTATATTACGTGGAATATAATGGTAATGAGGAACGAAGTATTCCACTTTCTGTTCCCTAGATAGTTATCACAATCTTGCACTGGTTTGTTAGACAAATTCACAACGCAATAGTTTTGGATGATTTAAAAGTCACTGAGAAATATCTGCAGTGAAAAATAAAGACCCAAACTTAAGGTTCAAAAACTGTGATTACAAATACGTTGGTTATTGTACTACTGACGGCTCCAAGGATTCGTGAATATTATGAGTATTTAAAAAGCCATGATAATATCGTTGATTTCAATATACATTAAAACCTTAATCAAGAGATTTATTGAGGAAACTCTGAAAAACCTAGTGCTTTCAAATCCAAATACTGTAATAGAACCATTTGAACTTAATAATAAAATGAGATATTTACCAAAAAGCACGTATTCGTAAATCTACTATACAGATTAACCATACAAAAGCAACAAAATCATAAAAAGATAAATACATCAATTGTCAAGCATCAGCTTACGAAAAGAACAATTTCATAAAAAAGTGAGCAAAAATTGTGACAAGAAGCCTGAGACACTCATGAGATAAATAAATGTTTCATTTTATTAACCAGTCAACTCAATCTGATGAAAGTATCTTCATGATGAGATAAAAAAGCTTGAGTAGTGCGGAGGTGGCCATTAAACTAGGTTACCCTATTGTTATTGATGTAGATTAAATAGTGATAACTGTGATACCATACAAAACACTCTTACTCGCTTCAGACCTGCCCCCCGTCTTCAACTACTCCATAAATCACATCTTATTAAGAACGTTTATTTGATGAGATTGGATTTACGTCTAAGCTAATTCAGTTATATATCGATTCAGTGACTATTAGTTACAGAGTTTTGTTATCTAAATAATTGTCACCGAATACAAAATCATAGTGAAGTAATTATTACAAGGAAAGTCTATTGAGAGTCAAATAACTGATAAAACTGGCAGATACTGAAATTTAATGAATAGAAGTTACGGCAGTGTGTTGGAGTTAACTGAGCGAAAATCATCTCAAATCAATGTGAATAATTAAGATTGATTTCCTTCACTGTACGTTGTCTTGGGGGATGTAAAATCCGGAACAGCCGGATAGACGAATGAAATGTAAAAGCACTAGACAGACTAGCTTAGATATTACATATGACAATGTAATATGAATAATCAATTAGCTTTGGATACACATTTACTGCTTTTCTGTCATAATCATATTCCGTTCTAACGACTGGATTTAATTTCGTTCACGAACTAGCTGTTAGCTTCAATGTTTTACGCCGTTTTGGGGAATATAGTATCCCAAACAACTACATATAGTGACTGCTTTCTGATAACTATAACCGATCAAGAACAAAACCGGTTTTTTAGTCCGTCTTATATATTAACCAGGATATTGATGATTAAGTTAAATACCATGCTGAAATAAACTAACTTGGCTTTTCTGTGGAAATGACTTGTGAATTGTCAAAAACATTACACAAATTAAAAGGGAACTAAATAAATCATAAAGATTTGAAGCATGATGATTCTTATAAGTCATTGAAATAGATCATCAGTAATTAATAGTTTATTTGTACTTAGTATAAAAATATGGATGTCTGTTACTTGCAGAAGTCAGAGAGAGAGGCCGCGTAATACCTTAATGTAGGTAAATATCCGAGTAGTCATACATTATATTAAAAATCAGAACAGAAAACAAAAGTAAAAACGATGTACACAAGTAATAGGAAGCTTGAAGACAACAATTTTAGGACTTTTAATAGTCTTTTGTAAGTGTTTGAATCTTCCTGTTGTTGAAAGTTTGAGTGTTCAGTCTACTTTAACATATTTCCACCTTGAACGGATTGCTTCAATATTGCAAATAATTCATGTTTTTTTTCAGCAAGATGCTGGGTTTGTGTGACGGTTCGAACGCCTATATTAGAATACACGTACATCTAAATAACGACTCCTGAATATGACGAAACACGCGTCCTGGGCTCCGCTAATACTCACTATCCAACTATATTCAAGGACTTCAAATGACAATGCTTAAAATGATATTAAAGATTTAGGTGGAACATGAACAGTAGTTTGTAACGCCGACACTTAATGAGCTGAGTCATTTTCTTCAACCATTGACTGACTGTCTAACTGGGATTAATCAAGATATCTAGTTAGTTATACGATTCATACAAATAAATAAAAACTAAATGAACTGCTGCAATAGCGTGGTTTGAATACTTGGGAGCTTATTACTTGTGTATGTATGTTATTTGTCGGATACAGAAACAGACAAAGCCAACATCAAAAATTAATACCAATTATCTTGAAAATATAACCCTTCTTACTAGCAGGAATATTGGCTGTAAAGAAGGTTAAATTACTAGTTTATGTAAGCACGGATGATAACTTAGTAGTTCAGGTTACTGAACTAAATATAAAACATATATTTAAATGCAAACATCAATGACATTTCACAGTCACACTTTAGTGGTTTAAAGTCAAATACTAAACTACTAATATTTGAGTGGTAGCTTAGTAGGTAAAGTAATTTCTGTTCAACCTGCATGTGGTGTATTCGAACTCTGATCCACTCGCTTCGGTTTCAGAATAAGGATTATATTACTAACTTCTACACGATATAGTGTAGCTAAACACTGAGTACATAAACCTGTACATGATAATTTGTACTGAGAACTTCAGTAAACAATGAAAATAGTTAAAATTGCTGAGTTAGTTGTTGAGCAAATTAAAGTTACCTCAGCAACCTGCAATCCTGACGAATCGGAAGAGAGAAATTTGCGCATATTCATAAGATTCATAAAATCGATAATACAATCTAAGGGTTCACTTTGAGAATCAACAAATCGTTTTAGAGTCATAACTTCATTCGATGTTGCTGTTAGATATAAACTTTCAATATCTGTCCCCTGGAATTAGTAAAACAAGATCAAATTCTAAAAAATGTGCACATTACCTTTATCACTGTTTCATAAAATGCATCAGCCATTTGGGAAAAATGAAACTGTGACATGTCTGGTGGTGGTAGACTTTTTCTACATACTGAACATAAATAGCCTCTATAGAAATTTTACGGTTTGAAAGCGGATTCATAATAATTTAGTAACAACTAACCTATTAACAAATGCAGATAAAACTCCTGACCAACGTTCATGCTTCAAATTTGCAAACCAACGTTGAATACATTCAGCAATCTCATAAGTAATTATCCATCGATGTGTTTGCATTATTTGAAATAACTGACTGACTAAACGAACAGATTCTTCTTCTTCTAGCCCATTTAACTTATTAAAAAATTCATAGAAAACATTTTCTCGTGGTGAACCACTTAGTTTGTGCATACATTCAAAAAAAGAAGAGATAGTATCAAATTTTAAGGCGGAAGAACACATTTGTTCATAAATTGCTGAATTATCACATTTTTTCGTTTCTGAAGAGAATAATAATTCAGGTGTGTCTCTCCAAAACGGCGTCCGTGCGACCGATTTGGCTATATCATTTTGAAAAACTTTTTTTTCTACGGCATTTAATCGAAGCAAAAAATAATCGTACAAACTTTTGAATTCAGTATAACGTTCTTGAATGCCTAACAATTTTAATGTACACATTAATGTAGCATTGCTATGTTCATTTATATCACTCAAAATGTAGTTGGTTAATGATCTTCTTAATTCAGGACAATCATGATAACTAGCGTAGTTCAGAAGACAAGGCCAAAATGATAAGTGAGTTGAAGGTAAGTTGTTGTTCATATCTCTACAATCACTAACTGAAACAGTAAAATCACCTAATGGTGATAAAACAGAGTTAATGTATGATCTCGAAATATCCTGCTTTGTTGCATTTTCAAATAATGTAGTAATTTTATAATTTGATTTACTGAAAAATCTTCCCTGAATGTTATATATACAATAGTTGTAGAAATGAAACTTTTGATAAAATAAACGATACATTCGGTAAGCTGACATATTTTTTCAAGCTATAAAGAAATTCATCAGCTCTGTGGTAAAGTGGAACACCATAATTTTTCAAAGTCCACCGTAAAGCTTATTGTTTGGCGTAACTAAGAGTGTATGAAAAACAAAGAAAGTAAGTAATATGTATATTTATATTGTCATAATTGTACATTTATAGCTTTTTGACACTGGTAACAAGTGATGGTAATACATAAAAAAGCAGTCCAAAAATTTCAAACTCACTCATTCACAGTAAAAATACAATTATTAAATTAGTGGTTAAATTTGTCAACTTTCAGCTACCGATTGGTTGTTTCATATTCCATCTTATCTATTTCAATTTTGACAGACGGATAGTATCACCAGCTGTCACAAACTGAATGATTTAAAGTTAGGAACTTAAACATGTTTAGTTACTCTGTTAAATTAGAGTACATTTAACAAACAACTATCAATTTGATCTTAACGCGGCTTTTTAGAACGAAATCCCCTTCCAAAACAAATAAAGAACGAATGAACTTAGTATACTATATTAGATGTGAGAGTAATGGCTATAGAATGTCTCTCAACCCTATGGGAACGAATGCAACATGTGAGGGGTTCATCTGGTCCGAATTATACTTAACATTCAATGTTAATGATTCTGATAGATTTTAAGGATGGTAATCTACGAAATTGATTTGAAAACTTTAAAATTTATTCACTAAAAACAAAAATTGAATTGTATACAGTTATGATGGAACTGAAAATGCTATCAGTTGAAAATATTGCTCCTGGGTTTGAAATAAAACACACAATATTAAAATACCAGGTTATTTAACAACAATGTATTATTTACATTTTTAAAATAACCAGCTGAGTTGATACTGATGGGAAACATAACAGATGCAGAAAATTTTAGATAGCATATACGTTGTTTCTATTCGGAGGGTAGGTACACTGATTGCCAACTGATTAAGTGCGGATTGCATGGCTTGGGCATTATCGCACAGTAAGACAATATCATCCGCATACTCAAGGTCGAGAAGTCTTTCTCCAGGCAGCAGATCTACATCGCCATTACTTACGTCCACCAGAGCTGTTTACAGAATGTCATCGATGGCAGAGTTGAAGAGGAATGGTGACATCGGGCAACCCTGTCTAACCACATTGCTTGAATGGAAGAATGGGGAGAGTTGGGTATGTGCCCTCACACTACCTGAGGTGTTTGTATATAAGGCCTTTAGGATGCTAATAAACTTCTCAGGCACACCCTTCGTCAATAGAAAATCCCAGAGAACAGTCCTGCCCTGGTATGGCCGAGAGTGGGGTGAGCTCGCCCTCCCTCTCGAAATACTCTCACACGGTCACGTGTATACAGCCTCTGCCAGGGAAGTCCTACTCACTGCCTTCTCGTGGCGGGGGTATTGTTTACAAAAATGAGAGGACGAAAAGCGAATGTCCGGCGCTTCAACCGGATCCCAAACCAATGGTGCATATGTGCTCCAGTATCCTGGGGGAACAAATGGCATATGAACCAATAGTTGGTCACCGTCTGTCGTGGGACTGCATCTCCTCACGATGCTCCACTACCTTATGGATCAGACCTTTGGGTCAAAGGCTCGGCGTGCGGCTCCCTAAGAAAACCACCGGCGTCGGTCTGGGCACCCAGGCACCATTATAGCACTCACACAATTAAAATGAAGTGACAACGATTATTTAATAAACTGCTCTCACTCCTATTGCAATCCAAACAACCCATACCCATTTGTTAACATCCATTTATATTTTTAGTTTTTATGTACTGTCACTTATCTACCCTCTTGCATTCTTACTTTGCGTACCCTTACTTTTAAACTTATACAAGAGCTCGCATATAGTAGAAATTCTGTTATATCTAAACGACCTCGAGTCACTTCCTGGTTGAAAATTGTATGCTACCATCAAATACGAATACTCAAACAGTTTTTCTGAAACCACATGCACCATTCAAACTGGCTGCTTTCAATGTTCGCATACTTATGTAGATCGGACAACAGATAAGGCTGGCTATGTCTTTGGAAAGTCTTAATATCGACATCTGTTGTCTATCCGAGACCCGTATTCAAGACTCTGGTGAAGTACTACAAATTCGCTCTCCATCTGTCGCTTCGGAAAGCTTGTTTTACGTGCGCTTATCCGAGGACCCTGTGGCATCTTCGTCTGGTCTTGCTGGTGTTGGTGTCACACTAAGCGCTAGAGCTGAGGCAGCACTAGTCGATTGGATCCCCATTAACAGTCGGTTATTTGCTGTTAGATTAGAAAGTTCCATCAATGTGAGAAGAAATCAGCGTGAGAAACGATGTCTTCTCATCATCTCCGCCTATGCTCCGACAGATTGCAGCCTGGATGCAATCAAGGATGAATTCTACCACCAGTTATCTGTTCTTTTCCAGAAAGTGCGTTCGACAGATATTGTAGTACTAGCCGGAGACTTGAATGCTCAGGTCATGCGTCTAGGCACAGAAGATAGTCGTTTAGGTGGCCCCGACCGAAGCTGCTACCTTGACGTGGTGGTCGGGCTTGCCTATCGTGATGACCCAACCGAGCTGTATTGTCTGGAACATATGTTCCTGTAGGTTCTACCATGCCAGGCAGGTCGATTGGTGAACGGTAAGACTAAAAGCAGCAACTCAAGGTCTGAAGGCGAAGTCGTACTGCTGACTGTATAGAGGTGTGACAGCAATAAGGTGTTTCCCTCAGACAACTAGCATATGCAGCGATGCTGCCTTCCCACAAGGAGGGGTGGGGTTAGAAAAGGTCGACCCTAAAAATGTCACACCTCACCTTATCTCACGGATCTCCGTCTCCGGCGATAAGGCCCTTTGAAGAACGGAGCTAACACGTCAAAAAAAACCCACGAAAAGGCCGTGCGCGACCGGCCTCAAGCAGTTGTCCCTTGGGCTCTGCAGTCACGCTCCCAGGTCGTTAAGACCAACACTAATCCAATTTCCTTTTCAGGTTCCTCAAGAAATACCCTTCCACGGTGTGGGCAGCCGGGAAGTGACATCAGCCCTCATACCCGTAACAGCACACGAGACCAAGTTGGTCACATTAAAATCCTTCCTACACCTCCTAATACCTCTCTTATCTCCATGACTAACCCTCCTCACGTCTCTTTATCACCTCGCACCGCTAGGGCAAACGATTCGAGTTCGTGGAATGCTGTTCATGGTCTCCTGAAACCACGCTCTAAACTACACGTAGGAGCTCTTAACGTCCGAACACTGTGCGAAATAGGACAGCAGGCTTCTTTAGCTAAAACTTTAGAATCTCGTGTCATCGATGTGTGCTGCATCTCCGAAACGCGCATACAGGATCCGAGTAGCGTCATTCATTTGACCTCACCATGCCAAAATAAAGAACCGACTCGATTTACGCTTCGTGTATCTGGAAGCCCTGATTCTGCTTCCCGTGGCCTCGCTGGCGTAGGTATAGCATTGAGTCCTAGGGCAGAACTAGCTCTCTTAGAGTGTATCCCAGTAGACAGTCGTTTGTGCGCTATCCGACTAAACGGAACAATAAGGATCCGAAAAGACAGGGACACTCGTCGTTGCCTCTTCGTCGTCTCTGCCTATTCTCCCACTGACTACAGCTCAGATGATGTAAAAGATGAGTTTTACAGAAAGCTTTCGGACCTCCTCCTAAAAGCTAGGTGCTCTGATGTAGTAATAGTGGCTGGTGACTTTAATGCTAAAGTAGGTAAACTAAGCGAAAGGGAAAGACACCTGGGTGGATCTTATAGCATCGTGGCTCAAAGAACAGATAATGGCGACCGTCTGTTGCAGCTATGCTCAGATAACCGCCTGTTCCTTGCAAATACTAACTTTAAGCATAAGGAAAAACATCTTTTAACATGGCGACCCCCTAATTCGTCCCAACGTTGGACCCAAATAGATCACATCGCTATCAGCCACCGATGGAGGGGCTCGATAGAAGACTGTCGCTCATTCTGGAGCACGTGCTTAGATTCAGATCATGCTCTAGTGCCAGCGCGTATCTCTGCGTCTTACTGGACGTAGGAAAGATAGTGCAAGGAAACCTCTTAGGCGCCTACTTAATGATAGTCAAGCTAAGAGCATATTTCAGGAACAACTAGGAAAACAGTTAGGCAGCCATGTATGTGATGCCCACCCCGAGGCAGCATAGAATGATATCCGAAAAGCTGTGGAAACAGCAGTACGGTAACCCGTAAGGTTAGGGAGCAACACTGGATCTCAGCAGCATCTATCGCACTGATAGATGCTCGAAAACTCATCCCATCTGGCTCTGAACATAACAAAAGGCGGAGTCAGCTTAAGCGCAAGCTGACAAAAAGTCTACGCAATGATCGTGAACGGTGATGGGTAGCGAAAGCAAGAGAGATGGAAAAGGCAGCGGCAATAGGTAATAGCAGACAATTGTTCAGACTTGTTGAGGAAACCGACTGTTAGCGAAACACCATCAGATAAAGATTGACATATTATGCATTCTCAATCCAGGAGATTGGATCGATGGGCAGAACACTTTAGGGATCAGTTCAACTGGCCTTCAGCCACACTTCGGTTTCTCACGATCTCCAGTCAACCTGAATGGCAAGTTAATGTAGGTCCTCCGTTTCTTTACGAGGTTGAAAAAGCCATAGGAAATTTGAAACGAGGGAGAGCAGTAGGCCCTGACAGGTTTACTCCTGAGATTTTTAAGGATGGTGGTTCAGTATTAGCAGTGAGATTAACTGAGGTCTTAGGTAGAATTTGGGAACTGGACGTAATCCCATCAGACTGGTCTCAATCACTGATTGTGCCAGTCTATAAGAAAGGACAAAAGTCCTCCTGTGACAATCACAGAGGAATCAGTTTGACTAATATAGTGTCTAAAATATTAGCTTCAATAATACTTCGACGCCTAACCAGAGCTCGTGAAGAACAGACTAGAGAAAGGCTAGTTTTCGACCTGGACGTGGTTGTATAGACCAGATATTCACACTACGTCAGGTTCTAGAACACAGACACACG